CCTCCTCCAATCACATGCTTCGTATGAAGTGACTGGTTTCCACTCAGGGCATATCTGAAAGAATCTGTTTCCCAAGCCCCTTCCCCAGTCCTGCGTGCGATCCTGGCCAGGAGGCATTGCTCCCGGTGGCTAAGTCTCTGTCCAAGACAGCAGAACCAGCCTCAAGAGATGAAAACATCCCAAGTCAACCCTCTAAAAATCAAGAGATGAAAAGCAGGTGAGGGTAATTTTTTGGACTATTGACCTCCCTCTGCCCATTCCCAGTGCGGGTAGGTTCGTGCATGTGTGAACATTCGATCGAATCGGGACCAGGGCTGAATTGGCTAATCAAAAATGTGGTTAATCCAGAGAATCTAGTTCAACCACGAGTTCAACCTGTGGAACTCCTTGCCAGAGGATGCGGTGAAGGCTAGAACTTTAACAGGGTTCAAAACAGAGCTAGATAGATTCATGGAGGTTAGGTCCATCAATGGCTGTTAGCCAGGTCGGGTAGGAATGGTGTCCCTAGCCTCTGTTTGTCTGGAAATGGGTGAAAGGGGAGGATTACCTGTTGCCTTCCCTCCTTCTGGGGTATCTGGTGTTGGCCGCTGTTGGTAGGCAGGACACTGGGCTAGATGGACCTTTGGTCTGACCCTATGTGGTCATTCTTACGTTCTTATGAGAATGGGAAAGCATGAAGCTGCAGCATGTAGCAGCCACAGGAGAGATTGCCAACTTCTGGACGCACGGGCACCGATTGCTCGGTGAATACGGAGAGTCGGATAACGGCGGGTCCAATAAATCGGGTTTCACTCTCTGCATGCATGTTGTTTAGTGTTGCCCACTGTGACGTAGTGGGGGGTACCTTGCTGGTTGCTATGCTAGGCAGTGGGTTGTGAGTGGCCTCCACTGGCTGTTGTCTGCAGCATGGCCAGCAGGGCACGGGATGAATCGTCACGTAAGGGGGCTCCGAACCTGTCCTACCAGTGATCTCCCAGGGAGCGGAACAATGGGAAGAAGGCGGAGTGGAGCCCTGGCTGGGTGCAGGGCTGGAAGTGAGTTAGTTAGGTTTCTGTCTGGGAGCATGGAGGAGATGGCCTAGGGAAAGGGGCTGGAATTTAGGGGCCCAGTCTCCCTCATCTCAAGGGGGGCTGAGGCATCCTAGGCCTGCCCTGTAACCAGATCACATCTGTGCCGTGCTGCATCTTGGAGAAGCAATAAACACCTCTATTCTACTGGCTGGTGGAGTCTGTCCGTGCCATTACGGGGGTGCAGGAGACGGGAAAATCCCAATGCGCCATCACACCCACTGCCTTAAAATGTATTGAGGGAGGGGATTTGGATCCTGCTGCAGGAGCAGTCACCCCATGTCTGCCTGTCCCCTGCCCCATCAGATCAGCTCCCCTCCCTCATGACCCTCCAGCCCCTGAAGAATCCTCAGTTCAGCCTCCCACCCCACCTGTGCTCCTCCTGGGGTTCCCCACCTCCTACCCCTGGCCTGGAGGCGGGAAGTGGGTTCCAAGCCCAGCCAGAGCCGCAGGGAAGGAAAGGAGGAGGCAGGAGCGAGGCCCCATCTAGTCCCGGTTGCTCCTGGGAGTGGGGGGAGGAGAAGATGTAGCAGAGCTCTCCTGAGGGCCCTCCTCTCTGGTGAGAACGGCTCCCAGCTGCCATTGGGAGGGGCAGAGAATACGGCCTGGCCTGCAGCGCCAGCCACTCTGTTCTTTCTGCCCAGGGGACAATGGGCAGGCAGCCCCTTTCACTCAGACACTGGAGCATCTTGTGTCAGGCCCAGGCTGTCGCCAGCCCCTGCCCACCCCCTGCCACTCTCAATCACGAGGCCTGGAAGCACTGCCAGCAGGACAGTCCCACAGACTCCAGGGCATCAGGTGCCCCTGGTGACAGCCGGAGTCTTCAGAGGGTTTCCCCTCTTCTTTCCAAGGGGCCCTCTTGTCTTTGAGCGTCAGACAGGTGCCATGAGAGCAGGGAAATGCTCTTTGTGACTGACAGGCAGCTGGGTCCCGCCGGTAGCTGGTTATTCTCTGCAGATACATGCCAACGTTCCCAGCGTGTTTCACAGTGGCCGCTCTGGGATTGCGCCTTTCCCCAGGGAGGCAGGTGTGGCAGTGGTCCGCTTCCCTGGCCAGGGACATGGCTGCACTAGCAGAGTCTGGCACCGAGAAAGGAAACTGGGGGAGAGTGGGGGGGAGGGAGAGGCAATTGGAGGACACTTTGTGGGGGGAGGTTGGAAGTGGGGAAAGGAAATAACACAGTTTTGGGGCTGTGGGTTCAAAGCCCCCCTATTTCCTAGAAGCTCAAGGGGCAGGATGGCAGCACCAACCGATGGAAGGATAGCCCTTTACGGACTATACTCAACAGCAAAAGACTTCTTGCCGCTCACCGGTGGGGGGGTGGGGGGAGACTGAGGCACAAAGATGAGGGGGAAACCATGGAGAAGGAAGGCAGCCAAGGGACAGGGGCAAGAGAGATAACCAAGGGGATGAAGAGAGGGGTTGTTGAGAAGAAATCATGCCAAACTGGTGCTGGCTATTACTTTCGTAACCTTTTATACTCTAGATGCTCAAAAATTGCTTAATTTGTTCCAGAGCTTTCCAGGTATCAAAGCTATGTTAGCTGACTAGTCTCTAGCTCTCTGGATTCTTTTTGTTTTCCTCATTTTTTAAAGATAAGGATTACTCATTTGCCTTTCTCCTGTCCTCTGGACTTCATCCATCCTCCATGAATTCTCAAAGGTAATTGCTAACAGTTCTGAGGATACTGCAGCTAGTTACCTATAGAACATATGTGAATTTCATCAGGGTCTGCTGATGAATACATCTAACTTATTACTCTTTAACCTGTTCTCTCCCTACTTTGGCTTGTGTTCCTCCCTGGTTAATACTTTCTTGAGCATCTGGTCACAGTTTACCTTTTTAGTGAAGACTGAAGCAAAAAAGGCATTAAACATCTCTACATTCTTAACGGCCACTTTTCTCTCCTCTTCCCCAGTGAAATAAATGACCTACACTGTCCCTTTTCTCTTGCTCCTAACGTACTTAATAGAACAACTTCTGGTTGCTTTTCATGTCCCTTGCTAAGTAACTCAGTTTGTGCCTTTGCCTTTCTTATCATGTCCCTAGATGCTTGTGCTATTCGTCCGTACTCTTCCCTGCAATGCTTTCACATTCCCACTGTTTTTTTATTGTCAAGTAACTAAGCCGCTGGAGTCCCATACGTTTCCTGCTTGTTTTCCCTATCCTTCCCTTGCCTCAGGCTAGTTCTATCTTTAATATTGTCTTTGAGAAACAGACAGTTCTCCTGAATGCCTTTTGCCCTTACATTATCTTCCCACGTGACCTTACCGATCTGTTTTTTGAGTGTGTTAAAGTCTGGTTTTTGGAAGTCTGCAGCAGAGCCTTACTGTGACATTGCCCGTTTTCTCGCTCATCACCTGTCACCCTCGAGAAAACCCTCCTTAACTAGGCTGACGAGTCAGCGTGCGAAGATGCTCTTCCCCCTTACCAGTGAGTATCTACTTTTTTGTTGCTACCACATCCCCTGCCTCAGTTTATTCTCCACACCAGAATTTGTCTGTCTGTCCCAAAGATTCACACAGTTAGGTCCCCAGGCCATGTCACAGTTCTCCCTCCTTCCTTGATACCAAAACTCCAAACAAAAGTCCCCAACAATGTTCTTCAGCTTGGAAGGTAAGCTGAAGCCGAAAAGAACCCCAAGCAGAGCTGAAGTCACCATCCCTTCTGGCTTACCTTTAAGTGTCCCTGGCTCTGGGACAGACTTTTACTCCGAGGCGGCGCTGTCCCTCAAGTCCCTCTCACAGTCTCAGCTCCTCTAGGCTACCTTTCCATCTTCTCTGCCATGGGACAACACTGATTCCCAAGGCTACATCTCTGGAGTCTTTTCAGACCCTACTGCAGGGTCTTCTGCAAAAGCCTAACTTGTTCCCTGAGGTTCCTCTTCCAAACTGAGTTTCTCAGTCCTTTAAAGAGGCTAACTGAACAAGCTGGCTAGCCACAGATCTCCTGGCCCTTAAAGTGACTAACTCACATCCATTTTCTGGTCATTTTGCTGTTTTTCCATGTCTCTCTCACTGGGGACTTTGCACTCTGATGATTATTCAAGAATCCACTGTTTCCACACACACATCACCTAATGGGCTCTGGATGAGCATCAAGCAAGCTGGTATTGTAGCGTTGTTACAGTCTATCCTTAAGAGATACAAAAAGCATTGTCACTAACTGGACCATTAACACAGATTGCACATACTTTAATGTCTGTTGGAAAATACAAGAGGTTCAACTGGGTGCCCTTCTCCAGAACAGCAGAACCACTCTGATACATAGTTCTCTAAGAATCCAAGCAGTGGCAGTCTGCCAAAGGTTCTGCAGAGAAGGTACCGTGTCTGTAGGGTCTGTGTACAGTCATCGACAAGTAGACAGAACACCTGCATAAAGTTAATTCATTGTTCAAGAAGCACTTTTTACGTAACACCAGGGGAGAGCCAGGCACTTCTTCAGTAGGAACTGACCTGTTCCAGAAAATGGTTGTCAGTGATAGCTCTCCTTGAAATCATTCAGAAAACTGCTTAACTGTAGCTGGTTTCCAGGGTAGAGGCTTTCAGAAGCATTAGGGAAAGCGTTCATGAGCCTGGCAGATCAAGCTCTAGTGTTTTGGTGTAAAGCTGAAATTAAACTAACCCTTTATATCCACACGACTTGGGATGCCTTTTCCCCTCCATGCCTGGGTGGTCTTTCACACTCACAATGGTTGTAGCCACAGGCCTTCTAACGTGTGGGACCTTTCAGATAGCTAAGTGATCTTAATTGAATATTTTCAAATATTTCTAGCCCTTTCTGTGGCATTCAAAATATATGACTCACTGGAGTTGTAAATAGCTATTCACAATCCATACATACAGCTACCCAGGACCAACCTTTGCAACCTGCAAATCTTAAGTGTCAGACTTCCTTTTGTCTGTAACAGGACTCCAATAAATAACCTAACCATCTTTCTCAGAAACCCACCCCTCTCATAATCTGGCTTATAAATCTACAGGCGAGTTAAGCAGGTGAAGGCAGTGTTGATGTTCAGAAATGAAAAGGTATCACCCAGAGAGGAAACAGACAGACACACACTACACACCAGTGACAAAGGAGCCATCCAATCATTGGAAAACAAAGAGCTTGTAATAATGAAAAAAAGGACAGATTTAGTAACCAATCACTTTTTTCCTTTTAAAAACACATAACCACAGTTAACTTTGTTTTATACAACCACCTAGAAACTATGAAACAGTACCACATTGTGCATTTTTTTTTTAAAACCTACTTATCAAGAAGGGTATTCCACACTTAAAAAATGTTATATCCATTTAGGAAGGAAAAAGTAGACAGCTAATAGCTCAGTCACAGATACATCATGAGTCCAAGCAAGCGGCAATTCTTTGTCCTCACCTTTTCCACTTAGCCAAAAGAAGAGTGGAGAAGGGGATAGCAAAAGAGAAAGGAGGAAAGAAAGAAAGCACCCACAGAGGACTAATCACATTCCATAGTTACTTTTGACATCTACAGCTCAGGGCTTCATAGAATAATCATCATTTAGACCAACACAGCAGGGGAGAGGAGTGTACAGAAAAATGGCAGTGAGGCAAGGGAAAATTTCTGAAGCAGCAAATACATTTCTATCCCGGGTCCCTTCCAAATACTGTTTGTTTGCAAGAAGGATCCACAGGATAGTAAGGAAGTTGACAGTCACAAACCGTTACAGGCGGAGGAGATTCACTCTACGGAAGGGCTCGTACAATTTGTTTTAAGAACTCTGAAAGAATTATATTTTACGACCTTATTCTAATCCCAGGATTCCCAATTCCTGTCCCCTGTCCTCTAACACACTGATGCTGCTGTGAAATGTACATAGGACAGAGCAACCTCACACTTGTCTGGGCAGCAGGGATGAGGCAATCGGTCCCAGGAGCTACCCAATATTAAAGGCCACTTTCCCCCTGAAAAGTCCACATTTCCTTCGTCACGCTGGTGATTTTCCCATTAATTTGGGGTGGGGACTGCGATCCCACGGATAAACGAGGGCAGCAGTTTGATTAAGTACTGGGTTAAATCCACGTTGTGGCAGAGCTACCTTTTGCCCCAAAGCACATTAAGAGTAATGTTGGGGACGCAAGTCACACAGGAGTCATGATGTTAAGAGACAGGATTTGCTTGACAGTTGAGTGAGTACACCTAAAGTTGGTATAACGAACCTCCACCCCAAGGGGACCCAAGCCCCTCTTCTCTAGTAAGCAAAATAAACCAACAGTCTTCCAGAAATAACGTGCAAGGCAAAGCACCTTCCTCCCCTTTGGCTTTGGAACTGCTGAAAGAGCTAAGGGGGGGTGGGCAGGCAAGGTAAGCACCTTGGTGCAGATACTCAATCTGCTTCCTAGCCGAGGCCGTCTTGCGCTCAGAAGAGCTCATGTCAGCTAAACGCTTCATTGCTAACTCACCAAAACGGGCGTGATATTTTTAAACTTGGCTGCCTAAAATTAGGTGCTTCTATAGTCACCTGGTTTGCAGAAATGATGAGCTGCCCGCAGGGCACGTTCAGCACCTTGGAAAAACAGGCCATGTTTGCTCAAGTTTGAAAACGTGGCCCTGAGCCCCTTCACTCCTTGAGGATTCATGGTAAAAATACCCCAAGATCGGACACAGGAGCAATTAGTGCAGCAGCCCAAAAGAGTGAATCCTCCCCCCTTCCTCCAGCAGCTACACTGCTGTGGGGATGTGCGATCCTAGACACAGAAGCCTCATATGGGCAACACAGAAAACTATACAGCCAAGTGCATTCTTCCCCTCCCCTTGCCCAGAGGCCAAGCCTGAAGGATACATTTCTTGTGCAAGGAGTCATCCGTTATGAGACAAGGCATCAGTTAAGAGACATACGGGGCAAGGAGAAGGAAAACGACAATTTGTTCATTTTGGCCTGTGGGAAGCAGCGGATAAAAGCACCTGGCAGAATGAGAGCAGCCAACAGGAGGGAAGCAAGAGCAGCTTCCTTTTTTCAGAGGATGGCGCTCACTGCACCACTCTGGGGATATCTTCCTGCAGTGTTCTGCTGAACGCTCCTGCACCTCTGCCTCTGCACTGATCTTCATGACAGCACCCAGCTGAGACAGTGGGGTTGGGGAGGGCACAGAGCAAGCAAATTTGCCTCCCAAATGTATCTGGATTCCAGAAGTATGAATACATTGAGATATTCAGGATCCAGCCATAAGAAAGCAGGAAGATATAAAGGTAGCAGTGAATGAGCCTGACAGGAACTCTTCTCTCCCAGAATTTCTGCCCCTCTTCACTAAGCTTTGCTCTGTGAAGCCCTATGCAGAGAATCCAATGCTTTTTATTTCCCAGTTGCCTCTCTCCTCTTGGATGAAATTCATCTGTGGAACGGAGCAAAGGGAGTGCGGCCTTCCCCTCAGCAAAGCATAGAAAACGAGCTAGGACTCGTGAGGAGCGCATGCCAGTGATCGAAATCTCACTTTCATGCCGCAGTTAAAAGCTGGAGGAAAGACGGAGAGAACTGGAGATGCGTGTGGACTCACGATGGTGAATATCTCAAGCCTGGGAAGAGATCTGCCTGATCCACACCGCTTGACAATCCCCATGGAACTTCAGCTGTCTGGCAGGGATGGAGACCCCTTTAAACAGGGAATGAATGTGGCCAACTTGACTTTCTGAACTTTGGGAGGGAGGGTGGGGAAACGGGGAATCTCCCTTAAAAAAAAAAAAATCTACTGGTGAGTGATACCCCTTCTGTGATATTTGCAAAGGTCATTCACGAATGCCGACCATCAGAGGGGAAGATGTCTTTCGCTCCCGTAAGAGAGGTGGTTCTATTTCTTTCGCCAGCTGTCCTGCTCGATTAGATGTCATTTAACTGGCCATATATTACTGTATATTCAGAGATGGAACCAGAGAGGTTTTTAGAACTAACTCCTGAGAGGAACTATATTCCAAATGGCTCAGAAATCTCCATGTAGTCATGGACTACAAGCTCTTGCGGCACCAGGGAGTACAGGGATTCTGGAAACTGTGCTCTTTTGGACCATGATGCCAGGAACTCAGGCATCCTGACCTAGGCATATAGACACCTCCATTTCACACGTGGGCTTCGCTGTCAAACAAGATGCATTTTTACATCAAGTTAGAGAACATCAATTAGTTCTCTCACTGTAAACCACCCTCCCAACTTTTTTGGCAGTAAAACAGCCAGAAACAGAGGGCTTTTCTGCAGGGTGGGAAGAGAAAGATGGTGGGAGTAACACAGAACAGAATTTGGGAGTGCTTTCAGTTCCTCCAGAATTTTGATACCGTAGGGAAAAAAAAACCGACCCAGACCTCAGTTCTTATTGACTTGATCGCTTAAGAGGTGAGCCAATCAGCACATGCAGGACCACTCACATCAGGAGCAGACTAAATAAAACATGTTCCATTCTCCTAAGCTCAGAAACTCATGATGTTTCACCTGCCTCTATTTGTTGAGTGCTGCTTTAAGCTCTTTACGTACCAAGTTAGAAAATATTTTCCGATGCCGTAATTGCAATGATACTTTCCCTTTGATAAGGGAGAGCTATCAGTAAGCCCCCACCCTCTTTTTTAAAAGCAACACTTCCTTAAGACACTTAATTAGTTCAGCTTGCGCCCCTTGGTTTAGCTGCTACTCCTTTCAAATTGCCTGCTGGCATATATAGCATCACTATCTGCTGACCGTTTTTGTTGCCGATAATCTGTTAGCCAGAGCGTCCTAGTGACCTCCCAGGAGAATGAGCTCTCTGTTCCGAGTGGCCTCGAACATTATGAACACAGCAAAAACCACTGAAATGCCAAACAGTGGGCTGAAATACTTAGAGGGCTTTCCATCTCAAACTCCATGACCCTGCCGGACAAGTGCATCTGACTTTGTCTGAACAAGAAACACAAGTGAGTCAAGATCAGGGGAACCATACTCCTGGGTACCAAAAGATTCAACAACAGAATCGTGTGTTAGTCTGTATTGTCCAGAGTCCTCTCACCGGTGTGGGCTGGCGCTGAAATACCAGCTGGGCCTCGGTTGCGGTGGAGAAAGAAAAATACACAAATCACCTATACCACCGTCATCACGCTATCACCTTCAGGAGATCAGTGATAATTCTGAGGCCTTTCCTGGCGGGTCACCAAAGTTTCCTGGTAAGTTCTGGGTGCAACATGAGAATGCTAGTAACTGAAAACACTCACTGTGTCAAGAGACGACAGTTCACTATCACCAACCTATGGTAAGTTATTTTGCCCTATTTAAACTAAAAGAATACAATAAAATTTCCTTCTTTCATTCCTCTGGGCCAGAGGCACAATAGGCAAAGTTAGAAAAAACAGTGCACCAGCCATATGTAATAAGCCATATGATTGGCTACAGAAAGAAAAATAATTTAACAGCAGCCAAGCAGAGATTCCTAGCATCTGACAGCTAGAAATGTAAATACAAAAGTCAAAACTGGTTTCTACATAGTCAAGGGTGTTCATCTGCCACTTGGCATCCGAATAGTATCTGTATGTGGCTGGCTACTGGCATGGCCAACGAACGAGGAGCTATTCAGGATACATGGAAGAGTGGTTAAAAACAAGGGCACAGAGCAGCAGAAGCAGCGACTGTGTCCCCTCCGAAAAGGGTGCAGTCTTCATCAGTCCTTACTGTAAAGTCAACCCTTGGGTTAAGGGCAGGATTAAAGGGAACTGAAGCAGCTTTCCCCAGCTCCTGGTGTTAACCATACATGCAATAGAGCAAGACAAATAAGATTTTATTAGTATTCAACACTGGCGTTTTCTGCACATAGTGGTGCAGGGCGCGGCCCTCTCAAACACTTATACTGCTCTCTTCTAAGTGGGTGTGTGTGTGTGTGTGTGTGTGTGTGTGTGTGCGCGCGTCAAAATATGCAAAGCTTATCAAGGTGGCCTCACCATTTCTACTGAAATTGATAAGCAGGAGACTGACTTTAAACCCTAGTCTGCTGAGTAGGATCACGTGCCTTAGCGAAAGGCTGACCTACCGCTCAACTGTTGACAGACGAGACTGGGGACAAGGCATAAGGGATGAGCAAGGAACAAAGCAACCTGGCGGTGTGCCTGGGCAGTGACTGGCAGAGAGCGCTTTGCCAAAGCCTAGGAAGATGTATAAAATAAAATGTCATTAAAGTCTAATTCAATCCCAACTTCTTTACTCTATGGAGAACACACAACAGCCTCCCTGCCCCACAGCCAATAGGGCTGGAGGTGCCAATTCTTTGAAACTTAGACACCTATGAACCAAAACATGTAACAAATCCCGTTCCCATACATGGGAAAGATCATGTCCTCATCTCATCCGCTTGTATTTTTGCTGTATTTAGCTGAAATGGAACAATGGAAAAGATCCCTATTTAGGCTCTAGCCTTACCTCAGGAAGATTAAGGCTTAAAAAAAACCCAGTTCTTAACCTAAAACCTAAGGTTTTTTTTGGCCAAGATGTTTGTGGCAAGCTTTATTACAACTCTCCTTTAAAAAATTTCTCAGAATCATTTGCAGTCATGACAAGAGGAGCATGAACTGGTATGTGAAACATGCTCAGGTCTTCTCAAGCAGCAGCAGCAACTAAAACCAGAAAGAAAAACTTTGGTTTAAAAATAAAACTAAACTGAAGAGACAAAAAGTCCAACTGGTGCAAATTATCTCATGGAAGAGGTATTTGCAGGGTACAACTCTCACAAGAGATCCAGATCTACACCCCCCTGCCTTGTTTTACCGTTATCGCCTTCATTGCACAGGACTCAACAAATCATTCTCGGATGGTTGTTAAGTTTCATAAATAATGTGAAAACTGTATGCAACAAATACATCATATTTCCAAAGAAATGGTAAGAAAAGTTACATCAAATTAAAAGTAGCTTCGTGAATGAAGGTACTGCTCTAAGTGCACTTTCCCTGCAAGTGCAGCCAGTGCCTCAGCGCTGGATATGAAGGAAAGAAAAAAAACAACCAAATTTAAAAATCCAAGTCCGGTTTCAACCAGTCGAAACCGGGCCAAGCAGAAGTCGAGTGTATGCTCGGTGCTGTCCCATCATGGAGTCCCTATAATGCTTGTTCTTCATCGAGATAGGGTTTTGTGTCTTTGTTGTGATTGTAAACAATCCTTAGATACTTCTTTCCTTAACTGTCCTCTGATTGGCAAAACGAAGTAAATATTTATTTAAAAAGTAGAAAATCAAAATTAAACCAGAAGAAAAGAAACACAGTGAGCTTGTTGGAGTCCATAGGATCCGGTCCGGAAGAGCTCGGAAAATGTGTTCAGTGTTTTCTCCTGTTTTCAGCTGGAACTGTACCAGAAGTTGGATTGGTTGGGAAAAGGGTAGTAGAGCAAGAAAACAAGGGATGTGGAACTAGACTCTGTGGACGTTTCATGTGTTTGCTTCATCATCTGTGTCCTCTATCAATATCTTAGTGTCACGAGCCTTGGACCTGGGGGGAAAAAAACAAGCAAACAAAAATACTCACTGAGGGGAAGGAAGACATATTACTATCATGTACGGACAAGGTAAATATACTATCTCAAACATATTTCCTAAACTGGTAACGTCTCAGGCAGCAGTTTATTATAGATATGTGGTAATTCATCCTCTCCCTACCCACGCTGCTCAGATGGTAAGATCACCACATACACACACAGAGGGATGAGTTTCAGAGGGGTAGCCGTGTTAGTCTGTAATGGAAAAAACTTTAAAAACAACAAATAGTCCTGCAGCTCTCTAGAGACTAATAAAAAATGTAGATGGTATCATAAGCTTTCATGGGCACAACCCACTTCTTTAGGTGAGTGGATGACTGATACCTTTCTACCCCATATGCTCGTTTTTTCTGCTATGGCTAAATTCTGCACATTAACAGTGCCCCCTACTGACAAATTACTGCAATACAGCAAATAAGGCTACGTCTAGACTACAAGCCTCTGTCGAAAGAGACTTTTTCGAAAGAGAGCGTCTAGACTGCAACCACTTATTTAGAAAAAGCAAGCTGCTTTTTCGAAAGACAGCACACCCAGGCAGTCTGGATGCTCTTTCGAAAAAGCCCTGTTTGCATTCAAGAACGCCTTTTTTTGAAAAAGCACTTTCAAAAAAAGGTGTTATTCCTCTAAAATGAGGTTTACCACAGTCAAAAAAAGCCGTGTTCTTTCGATGTAATTTCGAAAGAACATGGTGGTAGTCTAGACAAAAAAACCCTGTAGTCTAGACATACCCTCAGACACACAAAATGTAAACCAGTGGCGGGCAACCTGCAGCCCATCAGGGTTCTGTGTGTGGCCCATGAGACATTCTGTTCACCACAGCTCATGCGCAGAGTTGCCAGATTAAGCTGGTCTGTATAGGGCATTACTAATGTGACACTCACGTAAAGCAATGACTCGTGAAGTGAAGTGCATGCTGATTGCACACAATGTTGATTGCAAGAGCCATGCACTCCCTCTGCATTCAGTAAAAGCACTATTATGGTTCAACTGGTACACCTAAAGCTAGGACCACCAAACCTGGAATGCAGTTTCCTCTTCTCCTAATTTAAAGCAAGATCAGGGGTTAGTTCTGTGAGGAAAATGGAAAGTGCCAGGAATGGGACGATCTTCCAGAACATGGAAAGGGAGGGGGAAGAGAGAAGGGATGCAATACTCGCTGTCTCCATCGGAAACAGCAAGTCTGCAGGGGAGAGCTATACTGCAGAGTGACCAGTGTGGACACCCATACCACCAAGAGTGTGACCAGTAGGACTGGGGCTCGCCATCTTGACTGCCGTGAGACTGGCTAAGTGGGGTCCACTGGCTTGGGAGACAGCCCCTGCCAGCCCTCCTTCCCCCCTCCCCTCCTGCCCCAGGAGGGGGGAGGGGAAAGGCCCAGTGCACCCCTATCTAGGAGAGACCCTGGGGGGAGATAGAGAAAGTCAGGTGAAAGATAGCTACATTATTCATCTGCATCTGTCCCGTTCATGACTGGAGATAATTAAGGCTTCTGGAGAATATGTTCAGGAAAGATGCAGAGAAATTGGAGAAGGTCCAGAGAAGAGCAGCAAAAATGATTAAAGGCCTAGAGAACATGAGCTATGAGAGAAGACTGAAAAAACTGGGCTTGTTTAGTTTAGAAAAGAGAAGACAGAGGGGACAGAATAGCTGTTTTCAAGCATCTAAAAGGGTGTCACAAGGAGGAGGGGGAAAATCGTTCTCCTTGGCCTCTGATGACAGAACAAGAAGCAATGGGCTTAAACTGCAGCAAGGGAGGTTTAGGTTAGACATTAGGAAAAAGTTTCTAACTGTCAGGCTAGTCAAACACTGGAATAAATTGCCCAGGGAGGTTGTAGAATCTCCCTCTCTGGAGATATTTAAGAGTAGGTTAGATGGTCCTTCCCTGAGGGCAGGGGACTGGACTTGATGATCTCTCGAGGTCCCTTCCAGTTCTAGTGTTCTAGGATTCTATCAAAGTACTACCAATGACCCTAAGATGTCTAATAGCTATTTTACAGCCCATAATTTTGTATATATAGCTGGGCTTATATTTGCTATGTGCTTTAATTTGCATTTAACAGCTCTTAGCTGGAGTGCCTGGGAATGCTCTGAGGATCATTGAATAACCCTTAATTTCATGACAAGCCTTTTGTTGTCATAATCACACTGCCTCTGTTAATCAACATACTCCCTGCCCAGAAGTTGTTACCAGCACAGATCGCCTCATGTTCCACACTCAATCTGTGCATCTGGGTGCTGAGCACCCACTCTTAACCTCCTTCTCTCATGGGTGTTTGAGCCCCAGAGCACAGTCTGCACCTGTGACCTCTACACGAGGGATTCCATTCCTACAGGCAGTGTGTACGGACACTGAACACTGCACACAATTACATACATCGGGGAACCAATTCTGCCCTCAGAACTGTGGACACCTTCTACTGTGCATATTTCTTGTTCAAACTGTCAATGTGCTTCACACACAGGTAGCTTCTCTTCTGTGAGGCTTCACCTTGCTTCACAGCACGTCTGAGGGATAAACTATGCTTTAGATGCATCTCTCTCAACAGAACTCTGTACCTGACAAAAGTACACTTGGCCAGCCAATAGGAGTGAACAAAGAACGCTGCGTCAATGCTACACAGACTTTGCCTGAAAGGGTAATGCTAACGTATGTACTTACAGTTGGGTTCATCCTCTCTTTTAAAACTCCTGAGAGTTGTCGCTCCAACATGGCATTTCAAACACTCATTAACAATAAATAAATCCCTTCAAATGTTGTCGTGCAAGAGGACAATACGTACTGCGAAGAAAGATTAGGTCGGCGCAGGGACACACTCTGGCTACGCTTCCACACCCTGTTCTTCTGGCGGTTTCGGACACCATCCTCCTGGTCCATCATCTGCTCTAGTAGTGTCTGATCATCAGCATTCATTGGTGCCACTGAGATGTCCCGGACAGCACGGAACTCACCACAGTTGTTCAGATGCTCGTTCTCCAAGCGGAAGAAATTCCACACAAACCGCCTTGAAGAGAGGGAAGGAGGAAAAAAAAAGTTACTTACTAGCTCGTAACTGTTGTTCTTCGAGATGTGTTGCTCAAGTCCATTCCACGTAGGTGGGTGTGTGCTGCGTGCAAGGATGGTTGGAAGGATTTTCCCTCAGCAATACTCGTCAGGCTGACAGGGAGCCCCCTGGAGTGGCACCAGCGTATGCACTCATATATACCCCTGCCGGCCCACCACCCCCTCGGGTTCTTCTTGCCAGAACAATCCAATGAAGAGGAGGCGGGTGGGTGGGATTGGGAATGGACATGAGCAACACATCTCAAAGAACAACAGTTATGAGATGGTAAGTAACCGTTGTTTCTTCGAGTGATTGTTCATGTCCATTCCATGTAAGTGACTCCCAAGCCAAACCCACGAAGGTGGGGTCGGAGACTACTTGGAAACGGACTGCAACACAGCTCTATCAACAGCTGCATCATCTCTGGCTGGCTGCGCTACGGCGTAATGATTTGCAAAAGTATTACTCCCTCCGGGGCACCTGGTGCTGGCCACTGTCGGCAGACAGGCTAATGGGCTAGACGGACCTTTAGTCTGACCCAGTACAGCCATTCTTATGTTCTTATCTAATGAGGACCAAGTGGCCACCCTGCAGGTATCTAGGATGGGGTCCTGTGCCACGAAGGTGGCAGACGAGGCCTGGGTCCTAGTGGAATGAGTCAATTTAGGAGCCGGTAAATGGGCCAACTCACAACAAGTCCTGATGCAAGATGTAATCCAGGAGAAAAGTTGGGCCAAAACTGGAAGACCCTTCATTCTGTCAACTATCGAAAAACAGCTGGGGGGGAGGGACTTATGGAAAGGTTTTTCCATATCCAAATAAAAAGCCAAGGCCCATCTAACATCTAAAATGTGTAGAGCCTGCTCTGTTGCAGGCTTGTGAGGTTTGAGGTAAACCATGGGCAAAAATATGTCCTGACTGACAAGAAACTGGAACACTACCTTGGGCAAAAAGGCAGGGTGTGGGCAAAGCCTTACTTTATCCTTAAAGAAAACAGTGTAAGGGGGATTCAAGGTTAAAGCTCGGACACCTGGCTAGTGGAAGTAATAGCCACCAGGAAGGTGACCTTCCAGGAAAGATGCAAGCATGCCCATGCTGCCATTGGCTTAAAGGGAGGAGCCATCAGCTTTGTAAGCACCAGGTTAAGGTCCCACAGTGGGAAGGGTGGATACACGTGTGGGTATAACCTATCCAGCCCTTCAAAAATTGATGCCATTAGCCCCAGTGCTGCTGCTGTGGAGGCCACATTTGCTGTAAGGACTGCACGAGGTGCTGTGGTGCTGGAAGTGAGAACAGTGCCAGGAGCAGGAGCGAGAGACTGTGTCTCTGGAGAGCAGGGACATCATGTCTAAGCCCAGGGAGTAATCCGAGCATGACCACAATGGAGCCAACGATGGACCCGGTGGCCAGTGCTGGGAGGCATGCCAGATCATGGCTGCGAGCTTGCCCAAGCTCTGGGTAGACGGCAGAGACATGAAATGCCCTGGTGCTGTGGAAGATGCCGGTGTCACAGGCGCTCGGTGCCAGACCTTTGCCAGAGATTGTGGCCACTACTGGGGTACAGTGTGGACTAAGGTGCCAGCATTGCCAGTGCCAGAGTTGACACTGCCCTTTAGGCCTACAGCCCATATCTGGTGGGGCTGACACGTTGGTGCGGTTCTGTGCATAGAGGTCCCTCCAGTGTGCTGGTGCCGGCGGGGAGGCAGGGGAGGACATAAGTTCAATCAACTCGCTGGCTGTCTTAATGGTGTCTGGGATCGAAGGCCGGTTCATCTCAATCGAGACCTCATCTGGGCTGGGATCCCAGGCTGCGCTTGACTGGCACTGGGCCCTGGAGCTGCAGGCCTCGAGGCCTAGGTGGAAGCGTCAGCATGCCCTGACTGAGGGTGCACTCTGGATGCATGCCATGACAGAGAGCTGCTCCTATCTGATCTCCTCTTCTACTGCGGCCCCGGTGACAGAGCGGTGCTGGGCAGCCTATCGCCTTGGTACCGAGGCAACACCAGAAGGGCCTCCAAAGACGGTGTGCTGTGGGAGGTGGGCGCCGAGCTGGCAGCTGGTGCCGGGCAGATTGCAGACTGCATTAACCGAATCTTGAAGTGCGAGTCCCTCTCCCCCTCTGGGTATGAGGCTTAAAACTGTGTCAAATCTTGCAGTTTGCAGAAATGTGGGCCTTGCCCAGACACTTGAGACAAGTTGTGTGGGTCACCACAGGACATGGGCTTGAGGCAGTGCAAGCAGGGCTTGAACCCCTGGGGCTCAGGCACATTCCACGGAGAAAGGGGAAACACAACAGGCCAACCCCTAACCAACAAGAAGAATAAGACTAACATTAACTATAAAACTGGAAACTGAGAACTAAACTAACTATGGTGATACTGCTAAGTGCACTTGCAAAACAAGAGAGACGGTTCCAACAACCGACACTAGCGGTAAGAAGGAACTGAGGGGGTGGCGTGCCGGCAGAGGTATATACGCGTGCATATGCAGGTGCCACTCCAGGTGGCTCGCTGCCGGCCTGACTGGTATCACTGAAGAACAAACACTGAAGAACAAACCTTCCAACAATCCGAGCCCGCAGTGTGCACACAGCTACATGGAATGGACGTGATCCCTCACTCCAAGAAGGAGGGAATCATATAAAAATTAAATAGTGCTTTTTGGCAATGCAGTTCTGTAGATGCTACTGTGTACACTTCCCTGGGATTACACACAGTCCCTGAGGGCAAAGCCCTAAACACTGACAGGCTGCAGAAAGTAGGTGATTGGGAACGTGAATGACTACCAAGGAGTAGCCCGCTACATTACTTCACAGCAGTGGACTGATGGACTTCTCAAGGGAAGCAAATGGTTTTGGTGGAATCAGTCTAGTTTTAAAGGTGTAGGTTACCCCAGCATGGCCAGTGTCAAGCTAGCCCAAGTATTCCCAGTTAGGAGGAATAAATACAAATAAAATCTCTTTTACAATGAGATTCATAAGCAAGCTATTTTGCTCTTGACTCAAGCAGATGTATGATTCCTGATGTAACACAAAGATGCAGACAGCATTTATGTGCTGGAAGTGTCTGATCACAGTGAAATTAATTATTTAATTATTAATTAATTAATTATTTGCAAAAGCAGAAGAGATTTGGGAAAATTTATAAATTCCGCCTTGCGTGACATTTCAATAGTTTTTACCAGTGAAAATGCTTAAAATGTGAGCTTGCTAAATTCCTCCAATAAACTTGGTAGACCTTGACTCCTCGCAAATACAACACAGTGAGGAAGAATCCAGGTCTCAGGCCTGCCTATAGGTCAGACCTGTGTCTTTTTGGAAGTCTCTGAACCCCAGATGGGATTCCATAGCGCACTCTCAGCCAGCAGTTTGCTCAGACTTAGTTATTCTGAATCCTTGTGCTCTTTTACATTAGTTTGTGGCTTTTCAAACAGCTCCAGGCACCTGTGGAAAGCCAGTGACTTGCCCTACCTTTCTGGTGTGATTGTAATGCAAAAGGGGTAAACTAGAAGTTTGAAGCACTGGTTAGCTGAGCCACCTTACCGGAAAACCTCAAGGGGTGCAAAGACAGTAGAGATGATGTCCGCGGCATTAGGGAAGATTTGCATGGAGGTGAGGGAGATCTGGATGGTCCAGGCAAAGCGCAGGATTACATCCTCCACAATGGCACAATAGTAATAGGCCTGAGGAACAAAGAGTGAAATAGGACAGGTCAATTTACACATTCAATACAGAGCAAAGATACCTGCCAAAGGGCCAAGGAGAAGCAGAGCCAATCCCATCATTAGCTTTCACATTTATTGGGACTAATTCGTCAATACCATTGGTACAACCACTGATGGCTATGGCCTTCATGCAGAGAAAATGTAACATACAGCACCAAGTTTAACTTCTCTCTTCCATCTTCCTTCCCCAGAGAGAAGACTCTGGGATCCTAAAATACGGTTTTCTAGTAAGGGAGAGATCATCACCAGAGCTAGACACATGCCATCAGTATTTAAGTCTCCCAGTTATCTAAGATTTGTACTGATTTAACCAAATCTGTTTTGCAACTAATTTAATAATATTAGTACAGTCCCCTTATGTGGAAACATTTATCCACCACTTCCCAACCAATTGAAGCTAAATTAATCTATAGCATTCTTAAGCTGAAATAAGTGTCCACATAAATGTTTGCACTCGTTTTATTGTTTTACACTGGCTCTCTTTCTGCAGCTAATGCTTGCATACCAATTGTTCATTTGCCTATAAGAGCGCTTTTCACCAGGTTTTTAATTTTACTGTACTTTTTCTTGTTTTGTAGTTTTTGAAACAAAACTACCCAAACCACAGTGGAACAGAGGCATACTGAAAAAAGAGTCTTACAAATATAACAACTTAGAATTCCTAACATCAGGCTGCAGTAGCTGCGCAAGCACCTACAAAAGCAAGATTAAAAACCAGATTTTTGTGAGTAAGTTCACAAATTGTTCTGAACCATTTAAAAATATTCCTTAAAATATTTCAAGATGTTTTTTAAGACTCATTACATACAGGCCTTGATCCTCAGAATATTCAAGTACCAAATACAATTGCTGTATTCTACACATGGGATTACTTGCATAGCACTGCTAAGCATAGCTCTCCAGCTCCCGTGTGCTTGGCCCAGGCACACCTAAGTGGAAGATACATCTGTAACCACTCAAAGAAAAAGACTGATTACCTCTTTTCAAATCTCCTGCAGGGTTCAACATTCCCCCACCCCGATGGTTTTATTTTTTTAAATAATACCTGGAGTGGAAAATTAATGTTCTGAGTTAATAATGCCCTGCTGCTTCTACTGCACTTGCACCAACTGCACCCACACTGGGTTTGAAAGGATTCATAATAATAATAAAATGGATTTTATACATAGCTGCTAAAATAAAGGGAAGACCCATAATAACTCAAGTCAGTAAATTCTTAAGTAGGGATCTCCACTCCATCCGTGATTTGTCCCATCAGACCACAGTATTTGATGCTATCTGGTATGTTTTTAAAAAAAAAAAAACCCTCATCATTCAATGTGTCGAGTAGGGATGTGAATTGTTAACTGGGTAACCAGCAAGCATCACTCTTACTGGGTGATGCTTACCGGTTACAATTAACCGCCAGCCCGGCTGGGTTGGAGCAGCTCCCTGCCTGCCCACGGTGCAGCAGGCTCAGCCTGGCCAGAGCAGCCTCTCGCCCATGGCGCAGCGTGTCCAGCTGGTCTGGAGCAGCCCTGGCCTGGCCAGGTACCCCGCTCACCCCCATTTAAGTGGTTAACTGGTTAAATGTAATGTTTAACCGGTTAACAGAGTAAATGGGATTTTACATCCCTAGTGCTGAGGTCCACTGCTGAAGAGACACATGCGTAGCATAATGGAAAGGTATTAAGGACAGAGAAGATGCCTTAAAACTAAATTTGGTGGCTTTTCTGTGTTTAAAACAGACCTTTATTTTTATTTTAACACTCTTATCCAGTTAACATTTTTGCTTTAAAGAAAAGTGCTATAAGACCACCACAATCAAAGGAAAACACCATCTACTCATCACAAAACATTCAAGCACATAAACTCTGTGCTGGATATTATTTTCTGCCATCTGTATTTGTAAAATATAGTATATGCTTTTTACAGCTATCAATAATCTTAAAAAGGACAAGACTGTCTCTTTGGTAATGGATAGATCTTACAGTCTGAACTTCTGACATACTGCATCTAAGACACTACAAAGACTAGTCAGAACATGCCTTTAATGCAAAGGGTTTTGTTAAAACCTTGGCAGGCCCTCCTCCAAAAGACAAAAAACTGCATACTCACTTTCTGTGGGTAGACTATCTCTTCCCGGAGGAAGGTATTTTCACCAGCATTCTTGTCAAAGAGACCCCAGTCCATCTTCAGGTCCCAAATAAGGGTATAGCAGGAGCTGACGAAATAGAAGACAATCCACAAGTAGAAGAACACTTTGGTGTCACTGTGGTTTTGAGCTGCAAGAGAGAAACAACAGCATAAGTCTACATAATTGTAAACATTTCTTAAAGCACCACCAAAACTGACCACCAAAATCCAGATGACTGATGGTAACTCACCTTTTAACAAAGCTCCCTGTCCCACCAAGCTAAGTAAACTGTGAAAGCCTTATCCGAAATACTTTAACGTTAGTTTAAATTCCTCCTCCATCTCACTTCAATATGTTGGCTTCCCTTCTCCTATTTATTTTGAGTTTCACTATCCTCTAATCATAACTCTGGTCATCTGAAGAAGTGGGCTGTGCCCATGAAAGCTCATAACATCTATATGTTTTGTTGGTCTATGAAGTGCTACCAGACCATTTGCTTGCTGTTTTTTTTTTAATAGGTGTCTTGTTTGGGAATTGAGTTAGAGATGTTATTCTAATTCTGTCCAGAAGGTGGAAGCTGAGGGTCATATTTGAAGAACCAATGCTCACTCAAGATCCTTGTCTTAAATGACATTTGAGTCACATCAACAGATATAACTGTTCCTCCTTCACCTTTGCTTTGTCCTGCCAACTGAGTTTGGCAGCTCTTGTTCTTTGCCTCCAAGAGTTCTTGTCAAATACATCTTCCGAACTGACATCAACCTTCCTAATGTCCTTCAGCTTCTTGAACCACCTTTTCCGAAGTTTTCTTCATGGACTTAGTCCTATAACTATCAGCGCTTATGCTCTGGCTAACCACACCTGGTCATCTCACATAATGAAACCATCTCAGTCAATATCTCCTCAGGTTTCCTGTGATGGGAGCTACCTGCATCATGGAGCATACCATTGCCCCGTACAGCCTACCAATTCTTCTCTTGCACAACATCCACCTGAGCAGTCTCATTTTGGCAGTATGAAATAATAGCAGATTTCCCTTCCTCAGTGGCCAACATTCTGACCCACACATCACAGCTGGCGTAACTGTGAGCTAGTACACTTAGATTTTTAGTTTACTTGGCCTATTCTTGCTAGAGAAAATTCTTATCAACACCTTCCATTTACACCAAGAACTCATCACATGGTTTCTGACATCTGCATGCCCACCCTGGCTCAATCCTGAACAGAAATACTTAAACTGTTGCACAGACTGTATGCTATCTAGTTTTACCAGCTTCTCCCTGTCCTCCTCAATGAAGCATTGCATGCATTCAGTCTTCTGTTGGCTGATTCATAAGCCATTTTCTTCTAATGACGCTCTCCATTGCTTGAGGCCCTTTTCCAGATTGAACTAGGCATGTCAATATGTGTACATCATGTAATGCTACATGATTAACCGATAAGCCTTGGCTTATTGGTTATCTTATCGACTATACACACTCCCACCCCTTGCTGCCTCAGATGGGGAGGGGAGGGGGGGGGAAGAGACAGGAGCCAGTGCCTGTGAGGAGCTGGCTTTAAAGCAGACTCCCCATGAGTCTGGATCCACCTGCCCCCCAGCCCCCATGCTGCTGCCTCTGATCAAGAGGCAGCAGTATGGATGGAGAGTGAAGGTGCTGGGCTGGAGCCCAGACACATGGGGAGCCAGCTTCTGGCTCTCTGACTGCCTACTCCACAGACCCATCTGACAGGAGCCAGTGCCTGTGAGGAGCTGGCTTTAAAGCAGACTCCCCATGAGTCTGGATCCACCTGCCCCCCAGCCCCCATGCTGCTGCCTCTGATCAAGAGGCAGCAGTATGGATGGAGAGTGAAGGTGCTGGGCTGGAGCCCAGACACATGGGGAGCCAGCTTCTGGCTCTCTGACTGCCTACTCCACAGACCCATCTGCCCCCCCCCCCCCCTCCTGCCTCTTACAGAGGCAGTGAGAGGGGGCACATTTAAGCCAGCTCCCCCCGGCATCGGCTCATAAGAGGCAACAGCACAGGGTGCTGAAGGTGGGAGAGGCTGCCAAGAAGCAGCCT